ATTTCCACAGCTTCCCAGGCAGAACCTCACTACCAGGGTCTGTTGAAGCCCACGAATAAAGCCAGTCTCTAAGGCTCAAAAAAGAAAGAAAGAGGACAGCTGTTAGAAGAGCATGGAGCCTGAGGAATAAGAAAGTCAGGGGTGGGGGGAGAATTCCAGAAAAACAGCACTGATTAAAATTAACTAAAATAGTGCCTGGAGAAAATATTGTTCATCCTTCATTTTCAAGGAGCACGAATGACATCATGGGATGATGTTTTGACTCATGCATGAATTGGATTTAAGTGAGGCAGAGTTGCACAAAGTCACGAGTCTCACTCTCTCTTCCAGAGCCATGTAGGTCTAGTGGCAAGACAAAAGTCAGTATGACTGGCAATGGCCCAGGATCCAGTGGTATCTTCAATGTCTCACTATGCTCTAAGTGCTCCATAGCACCTCCTTCAACCACCTTCATGGCTGTTGGAACAAATTGTTTTTGTCCACCTGTTACACTGGGAGAGGGCTTCATATGACTCACCAACAAGTCTTAGACCTTACTGATTATCCTCAACTTGGTTTAGCCTGTCTGCCCAGACGGTATTATTAAGGTGTGGCCACTGTCCATGTTACAGCTTCTTGGAACCACAGGTGAGAGTTGGGCGGCAGGTGAACACTAAAGATGGATCAGCAGCCCAGAAAAGGGTTCAGCAAGCTCTCACAATGTGGCAGTTTTGGGGTTCAGGGGTGCTGGGACCCCAAATCACAACACACAGATCTTGCCCGAAAGAATTTGACCCAAGCCTTCCTGTAGCCAAAAACAAAGTTTATTGAAGAGTCACCATATTAGCTAGACTCTTAAGGAGTCTGAGCATCTATGGACTATTGGCTAGATTGTAAAAATCTGAGCATCTTAATGGAGACAAGATGGACCTTATATACAGAAAGACCATGGGAGAGTGGCCAAGTAGTCCATGAGGTAACAGAATTCTCAAGGGTGGGAAATGGAGCCTAGGTGGGACCCAGGGTGGGAAGTGGCCTGGGGCCATAGGGAGGCAAGACAATAGAGGGGAGATTGGGTGTAGCCACAGTGAAAGACCAGTTGATGGCACCCTAGCTGCCAGAGATTTGGCCATGTGGGAAAGTACAGAGTTCATGAGGTAATAGAATTACCAAGGGTGGGAAATGTTCTGGGGCTAGAGTTTTTCCTTTCTGGGGCTCAGATTCCAACCCCATCATTCCCCTCCTCAAACAAATAGGAACCCAAATTCTTTTGGGGTAAGGGGCAAAGGTCTCAGCTTCTGAAACTGCTTCCTGCTGGCAAGGGGCGTAGAGCTGTCCCTGCCTCAAGGGGGTCCCAAAGAGGAGGTTGACTGGAACTGAGCACAGGCTGCATCCAGGGAACGAAGCAGAGACATTTGCTGGTACTCGCTGTTTGCTACCAACTGTAGGTGAATGACCTGTAGTCTGGAAGACACAAATCTGACAGAAAAGACTGCAGGGCCCAGATACTAGATTTAGGGACCAACTTTGAGAGGATAAAACATCCTTAGCTCTGTTTGGATTCAGATAATTCAATTTTCCAACCATGCAGTATCAAACCCACCTCATAGCCAGACTCAGGAATAGCCAGGTGGGTAATATTCCCTTTTAAAGGAACATAATGGGGAAACTGAGCCAGGAGGATCCCATCTTAGACTGAGGCTAAAATTGTCCTCTCAGCTTTTCCCAATGCTGACTTCCCACCAGTATCACCTTCTCTGAGTAGCTTGTGACATTTCTCTCAAATGGTGGATTATTGATTATCAATGGATTATGACCCATCAGACAACTCAAAATAAAATCCTATGAGCTTTTACCTCAAACAGCAAGTTTTACTATCACAGCTTGGGAAAAACTTTTCCAGGATTTACATCTCAAATTTAAATTTGTCCTGGTGTAAAAAGCCAATCATTAGAGATTTCTGTGCACTTGCAAATTCTCAGCAAGCCATACATAACCCAAACAAGCTTTTTGGCTAATTTACACATTAAAATAACCAACAAGAGCTAAATTATTTTAGCGATAATCAAACTATGATACAGAAAGTTCACCAATTTGAAACGTGAAACAAACCATTACCAATCAAGTGACTTCAGTTTTGTTAAATGCAGTTCCAAATTACTTTACACAGAGAATCAACATCTCATCGTTAACAGTTAAAACTACAAATTTAAAAGAGCATGCTTACCCAAGTTTGGAGGCTAGCTTCATTACCTTGAGCAGGATGTGCTGAACCTGGGTGATGCTTCCAGGCAAAGGTTGCCATAAGGCCCAACCCATTGCCAATGGAGCCCATGCTGTAGCTGCTGCCCCTCCCCCCTCCTTCCTTTTGCCCAGGTGGGGGAGGGCGAAATCAAAAATAAGAGAAGGTAGTGGAAGAAAAGAGTGACCAGGGTTGTAAGGAGGAGTTCTAAACTCCTTAATGATCAATCACAAAACCTCCAGAATCTGCCAAGATATTTTCAGGTGTTCTAACTTTCCCCTGTAACCTCCATGAAGGAGAATTCAGGGGCGTAGAGGGAAGGGAGTAAGTAAGCCTCAGGGAACCAAAAAGCAACTGCAGTTTTCCCCAATTCCCTAGCACCGAGGGAATTAACAGAGCATACACTTCCGGATAGGGCATCCGTCCTTGTCCTCTACTCTGTGGAAGTTGTACCCCGGTCAATGGCCTTGAACCGACCTAGTGGACCAAGAGCCTGAGAGCATAAGGCCCAGTGTGAGACAGCCTCGTAACTGTCTGCCAGAAAAGCACCTCCAAGCCTTGGTGCTTGGAGAGTGACCCCAACTGCAGAGCAAGAAAGGAGGGGAGGGGGGAGGCTTACATACCTTCCAGTCTTGGCTGGAGAAGAACTTGGGGTTAGGCTGTTTCCCCATATGGGCCACCAAAATGTTGCGGTTTAGGGGTTCAGGGGTGCTGGGACCCCAAAATCACAACACACAGATCTTGCCTGAAAGAATTTGACCCAAGCCTTCCTGTAGCCAAAAACAAAGTTTATTGAAGAGTCACCATATTAGCTAGACTTTTAAGGAGTCTGAGCATCTATGGACTATTGGCTAGATTGTAAAAACCTGAGCATCTTAATGGAGACAAGATGGACCTTATATACAGAAAGACCATGGGAGAGTGGCCAAGTAGTCCATGAGGTAATAGAATTCTCAAGGGTGGGAAATGGAGCCTAGGTGGGACCCAGGGTGGGAAGTGGCCTGGGGCCATAGGGAGGCAAGACAATAGAGGGGAGATTGGGTGTAGCCACAATGAAAGACCAGTTGATGGGACCCTAGCTGCCAGAGATTTGGCCATGTGGGAAAGTACAGAGTTCATGAGGTAATAGAATTACCAAGGGTGGGAAATGTTCTGGGGCCAGAGTTTTTCCTTTTTGGGGCTCAGATTCCAACCCCATCAACACCAGAGTGCTCATCCTCCCTGATGTAGGTAGCCTTACCCAACACAGGTAGACAGTAAAAGGAGTGAGAGTAACATGGACAAATGAACCAAGGACAAAGGCCTCTCAGGGTTTTTATTCCCCTACAGTGTCCTGAGATATACACATCTGGTCCCTTCATAGCCAAATCCAGTGTAGGGGATCAAGAAAGGCAGTTGAAGAGAAAACAAAATGGCATTCAGAAGAGTGAAATTGGCAAAGGTGGAGACTAAGCCCTACTATAGTGGCCACTCCATGTCTCCCTGCAGTAGTGACCCAATTGGCCACTCTCACCCTCTGATGAAAACATATCTCGTCCAGCCCTTACTGTCTGATAAAATAAAGGACAGAAAATAAGGGGAAGGGGAGGGGAGAAAAAGCACTGGTTCTTCAGAATGACCTATATTAATTAGCTTACTGTTTATTCTGATTCAAATTTATTTCCATGCTTAGCACAGTGACTGGCACCTTTATAAATGTGATTTGGCAGATTGTTGCTAAACCAGACAAGACCTTGAATAACTAAGACTATTAGCCAGTTATCTATAACAGATAGCTTTGATCTTTGTGCAAACACAGGGGTTTAAGAAAAGACTTAATATTAGCCTGCAATTAAAGAGCTGTCAGTCTGCCTTTATTTGGTAGTTCTAGCTTTTAAGTCATTGGAGATTGGAACTGAGATGGCCCAAAAGTAGCCCTAATAAAAAAAGTCCAGAAGATAGTAGTAGGGAATAAAACCTCTCACTGTGATGTCCAGCCACCAACAAAAACCAGCAAAACAATGTATCCAAGAGAGATGCAACAAGGCCAATGGATGAATGCTCAACTGAGACTATTTTCCTAGCAATAACCACAATACTACTAGGAGTAAATAGCACAGCAGACAGACTCAGCAGATCAGTTCAGCAAAGGAACCCAGCAGAGATGTCATGTCCAATAGAGAGTACATCCAGAATGAACATTGGGGCATCTCTGGTCCTGTGCCATCTGAGGTATGTGAAGTATCTCAAGTATCTCCATCGTGTATGCTCATGTATTATCCCTCTAGATGGCCATTCTCTCTACCAGTATGTGCATTTGTAGGAAAGGGTGATTGATAGGAAGAATATTATAATTTCTTTTATTATACTATTTCATTAAATGCCTTTGCTTCAAACAAGTTGTGTCCTCTAATTGATGAGAGAAGCAGTAAACATTGGGAAGGACTGATAAGTTACAGTTTTGAGTGAATGAAGACATAGAGATCTTTGAGCCTACAGTGAGTATTCAAGGAGACCAATCCCAGTGTTACAAGTGTGATAGCATAAGTTACTTCACATGTCTGGACCTTCTTCTTACCTGTAAAATGAAGGGGTTGTACTAACAGACTTTAAAGGTCCCTTCCAGATCTAAATCTACAATCCTAAATTCAAGTTCTGCAGAAAAGAAAGCACGTTGTAGTCAAAGATCATTCCTCGGAAATTTTACTCTTGGAATAAATTAATCAAGAAGTTAATATTTAAGCTGACAACTTCTCTAAGGGCAATGTCTCTCCCATAAAGCCTGATATACTCTCCCTCATTGCCTGAAACAAGGACATCCAAATGATAAGATTTAGATACCTTCTTCCTAGGCTGATGTTTCATTCTCTGTTGGCTCCATGTAAGTAACTTGGATCACAACATCTGGACAATCCATTTCCCACATCTTTAAACAAGAAATAAAGCCTGTCCACCTGACTGGGGCAAAGCCATCTGGGGACTAAGAGCAGGAATTGTAAAAAGTAAGTATTCCCCCTGGAACTCTGGAGCCTTTGGGTGGGCCCACTGGCAGTGAGATGGAAGAGGAGTTGTCCCTATTTAGTTAGTTGAGCTTCCAGCAGCAGAGTCTTGCAAGAACTCTCTCCCTGCCTGGTAACCCTGGGGTGGGGGTGGGGATGGGGGGGGGATAATAACACAAAACAAAAGAAAAAACCCTTCCATGCTCTTAGCTCAAGTTAGTATAAGGGATTTTGAAGATCCTGTTTTGTAATGATAGTCAATTATCTTCTGACTATATTGATAATGATCCAGCTGGAGAAATCATTAAGTTATGGGATAAAAGAGCCACTACTTAGATTTCCTGTGCAGAGAAAATAGAGAATATTTTGAAGAAGGTTTGTTTTGTTCTGTTCTGTTTTAGTTTTATTTGTTGGTTTGTTTTCCTGACAGCCTCCAATAAGCAAATCTAACATGGTCTGGGATTGTGACTTGGGACTTTGTCCTCCTAATTTTTTGTATTTGGTTGAGCTACCAAGACACCCTTTGGCATCTAACAAAAATTTACCAATACAGTCCTATTTTCATTTTATGCTAATGCTTCAGGTCCTAATCTTGTGCCCCATGGTCAAGATTTCTTATTTTCATGGTAGCATTAGAAGTCTTCTCCTCCTCCTAACCCCTTGGTAGTCAAGATCACTCTCAGTACATGTTCCTTTTGTCTTATGTTTTCTCTCTAGAATAGAAACTGGGATTTTGCTTCAGGTTAGGTCACGTTGGAAATTACATGTTACCATTTTCTGTGGTGTCTAGGACAAAGGCTGAACACTGCTGACTCCTTCCATTTTGCTAGGAAAAATCTGACTTTAAATCTTGGCTCTGCCACTTAGATTCCTATAAATTTATCTAAGCCCCAGTTTCCTCTCTGTGAAATGGGAATAATGATACTTTCAATGACAGATGACATGGTGTAGTGGACAGAAAGCTCAGCCTCAAAGTCAAGAAAACCTGGGTCCCAATTCTGCCTTTAACATACACTGACTATGTAACTGTGGGTAAATCACTTAAGCTCTCAGTGACCTAGGCAATGTTACAAAACCATAAACTGTGGAATAATTAGTATCTGTTTTGATAAAAGGAGTTTCTCAAAGGGTGTTGTTGGACTAGTAAACATACCGAATATGCCATTTCTTAGGTAGGAGACATAGGAAGCCTTCTAGCACCTCTCTCACTAGCAGACTCACTTTGGATCCAGTCACACAGGAAGACAGGAATGGAGTCATAATAAGGGGTTAAATAAGCTTCCTTTATTCTAGTCTAGTCTTCTCAAAGAGAGTTTGCTGATAATAGGACCTCCAACTCCTACAACATTCCCCAACAACCCTTCTTGCAGGGGCCGATGTGAAGGGGGGAAGCAACTACCCCTTCGTCTTGATGGGGTCAGTCGACACCAGCACAACTTGTGTTCTCCCCTAAATCCCCTCAAGCCTCAATGGGGGCCGGTTGAGACAAACACACAGATTCCCCCTCCTGAGCCTTGATGGAGTCCAATCAAGGCACGCACAGCATTCAGCCTGCACATTCACCCCTAAAGGGGTCCCCACTCACTGACCAGTGCCCCCTTGCTTTATAGGGCAACAAAGAAGACATGTTGCCAGCAATGGCCTCACAATTTTACATTACTTTACCCCTATGTCTACCACGACTGCACAGTAGAAACTATTTTGAACCATCATCCTAAGAACTCATATCTAACACCTGGGAAGTGGAGATTGTTATGGCTATGGATCCTGGGAAGAAAACGCTAAGAAAGAATAACAAAAATCCACTTTACCCACACTAAAATTCACTTTACTTACACTCCACCCCTCCAAGATCCTGGCCTTACAATCTACACAGGTAACAATATGGCTCTTACAATCTACACAGGTGACACTTTTAGGGGTACTTGGGCCAAGAAACTAAAGCATAACATCCATAATCCATAACAACAAAACAACAATTTAAACTGCAACAATATACAACAACAACGTGCTAAAATAACAACAATATAGATTCCAGCAACATAGACATTATGTTGGGCACTATCAAGTGTACAAACAAAGCATATCACCAGAGTGGCCACAAGGCCTAAAACAGAACATAGCATTCAATATGTAACATCGCACAGTATATTTCCTAGCGCACTATATGTAACATAGTATACCTCCCCCCTTATACTATGTTACATATAGTCCGCTAGGGCCTTCCTTTAACACAGCACATCCTCAGGGGCAGCAGATAATGCAACCCACTCCACCCCTAAGTCACAGTTCATTTCTGGGCCACAGTAGGCTACAATCCCCCCCAATCAAAGCAAAGGGTCCAATCCTCTTCCTGAAAGTCCTCTGCGGGGTGCATCTTTCTCCTCCCTGGGGCTCGCACTCTGCCGTTGCAGGCTCCCACCTGGTACTCCCGGGCGGGCTCACACTTGAGTAAGCCAAAAGTCCAAGTCCTAGTACCATTCCAGCCCTGCCACAAGGTCCAGGGGACAGCTGGGTGACAAAACCAACAGGGTGGGTCTCCAAGGTTATAGCACTTCCCCCATCCCACCATAGACAACTCCACCCCCGGGTCCCAACCCATCCCAGGGGGACATAGCAGGAAAGCATACTCAGTGCTCCTACCTTGATCTGGAGCTGAGACCCTAGCCCTGTGGCTCTCTGCTCCTGCTGCACCCCTCAGCAGCTCCCTGCTTCTGCCTGGGTCCAGGCCCAGCAGGCTCTGGGATCTCCTGCCCCTAGCTTCTCTCTCTGGCTCGCACCACCCCAACTCCTCCTGCACAGGGGAAGGGGTGCCCACTTGGGCTCTGGGCACAGCACACACTTCCAGGGCCTCTGCCCCTCCGGGACACTCAGGGGCCTCACCTTGCAGGGTGGGGCAGCTCCAGCCAGGGCTCTGGGCAGCTTGTCTTTCCCCCTCAAAGGGAAAGGGGCTACTCCCACCTGGCTCTGACTCCAGCCACGGCCTTGGCTCTGAAAAGTTCAAAAGAAACGTCTCAGGCCAGGCCTCCCCCTCTACCTCTAGTTGCTGCTTAGCTTTAACCCTTTCCTGTATTACAGGCTTCTCCTTTAGTGCAGGAAAACTTAAGAGGAATTTTTCCCACGCACTTTTTCCTTTCACGATAACAAATCCAAGTATTTCTCCAGCTCATCTGATAACTCCTACTCTTGAGGAGAGGGAATAACAAATATCGTAGCCCTAAGAATTTGGGTCTCGGTCTCTAACATTTCCTGGGCTTTCTCACATGTCCCTTTTTCCTCCCACTCCTGGGATAAATCAGTCCAATCCACACGTAAGTTGGTTTCCACTGACAGGAGCTTGACTGTACTTTTTCTCACAATGATTAACTTTAGCCAGACTACCGTACAAGAAACTGAAGAGCCTGCTTTCATCTCCCAGTGCCCACAGTCACAGTCACAGTCACAGTCACAGTCACGCCCGGCTCGTCTCCTCACGAGTGCAGGTGGGGTAGGGAAGGGGAAGGAGAGGTCATCTCCACGGGGCCCCACTCCAGGCTCCCGGGAAACCGCTCCCACCGCTGCACCTCGCTTGTTTCCTCTCAGGCTGCTGCTGCCTGCTCCAAGGCCTCTGCCCCTGCCACTGCTGCAGGGTCTCTCTGGACCGGTCCAGAATGCTGCTGCATCTGCCACTGCATATTGACTCTCTCACTCCTTTGGGGCAAAGTCTGGGTCTCCCACAGGATTCCTATAACTCCCACAGCCTTTCTAGCTCCCTTCTTATCAAGGGTACCCCCAAACTTCAGCAAAACTTTCTCAAAGCCTCTAGGGGTGAGGGGCACATCCTTCCAAGCCTGGGAAAGGGTCCATAATCCATCCTCCCATCCCTGGGGAGAAATTCATAGAACCATAGTTACAAAAAATAACAAAATCACAGGAAAACATCCTAAGATGCACATCCCAGAACCCTAAACCCCATACTTGCCTTCTTGCTTTCAGTCTGCACAGATCCTGCCAACTACACTCAGCGCTGGACAAATAAACACACCGATATGCCATTTCTTAGGTAGGAGACACAGGAAGGCTTCTAGCACCTCTCTCACTAGCAGGTTCGCTTTTGATCCAGTCACACAGGAAGACAGGAATAGAGTCATAATAAGGGGCTAAATAAGCTTCCTTTATTCTAGTCTAGTCTTCTCAAAGAGAGTTTGCTGATAATGGGAGCTCCAACTCTTACAGCATTCCCCAAAAACACCTGGGAAACAGAGATTGTTACAGCTATGGATCCTGGGAAGAAAACATTAAGAAAGAATGACAAAAAATCCATGTTACATACACTAAAATTCACCTTACTTACAGGTGTTAATTATAACAAATAAATCATAGGTCCACAACTATGATAAGATATGATACGATAATTTAAAAAAATATTTGTATCATCTACTTACATTGTAACAAAATGGTTTTTCCCCAAAGCTCTTTTCTTCCAGAATTGCCCTAACATTGCCACTGCACCAGATAAAAAGCAGAAAATGGAAAAGCGTAAGACTAAACCAGTGTCCATGGCATGGTTTTCTCACACATGTACAAAGAGAGCAGTTGTAGATGATCCCAATTGCTTAAATCTTTTAATCTCCATAAGACTTTTTCCTGCTTTGCTGGAAAAGTCAAGGAAGGGGTGGAGCATTTCTATTTATAAGAAGGATCAATTCTAGGAGGAGAGGCCCCAGCAGAAGGAACAACTGAAGAAACTCTTCTTGATCCTTGCCTGACACAAGACACCATGGTCAAGCGAGTTGCAATTGTTGGAGCTGGTGTGAGTGGCCTTAGCTCCATCAAATGCTGCTTGGACGAGGGTCTGGAGCCCACCTGCTTTGAAAGGAGCAGTGACATTGGAGGCCTATGGCAATACACAGTAAGTGATATTTCTTAACTCCTCTATTGAGCATGCCGACCAAGGCAACTGCCTGGCAAGGTGACTTTGGTCATTTTACCTGTCTGGCCCTCAGTTTCCCAATTGATAACATGAGAGCCTTCTCTGATATAATCTCCAAGTTCCTTTCCATGTCTGTCTATGAAATTATTCTGTAACATTTAGATCTACCCAGTGGGAGAATTCTATTCGTGCTAGGACAGAATAATAATAGCTACCATTTACATAGTGCTCTAAGGTCTACAAAGTACTTTATATGTCTTAATCTTATTTGATCCTGACAACAACCCTGTGGAGATAGATGTTGTTATTATTATCCCCATTTTACAGAGAAGAAAACTGAGGTTGAGGGAGATGAAGTGACTTACCCAGGAATTCTACATTTCATCCTCTCATACAAGTTTCCCTTTTCTTTTTTAAACTTAATTCATGATTTCATTAATATGGGGAAGTCCCTCTGCTGCAGAATAGTTCTGTGATGTGAGAAAGTTGCCTAAGGCATTGTGAAGTTAAATTACTTGTCCAGGATCAGAAAGACAAGAATAAGCCAGATGTGGGACTTGAACCCATACCTTCCTTCCTGACTCTGGGGCCCTTCCCCTGCTTTCTTTCTCTCTCACAGTTGCAGGTAGGTAAATTCCACTGAAAAGGTTGTAGTTCTCCCCATGTCGTTTTGAACATTGACTTGTTGAGAGTTTTAATTCCTTAGGGATAATAACAGTTTCCCCTTTGTGATGTTTCTATAGGAATATGTTGAAGAGGGCAGGGCTAGCCTTTATGAATCTGTTGTTACTAACAGCAGCAAAGAGATGTCCTGTTACTCAGACTTTCCTTTCCCAGAGGATTTTCCAAACTTTTTGCCACACCCTCTATTTTTGGAATACCTCAAGATGTATGCAGACAAGTTCAACCTTCTGAAATGTATCCAATTCAAGGTACGTCACTAGGAGGTGTTTGGTTGGCAGAAAGCTACTTTATACATATCTTCTTTTGTTGCTTCCTACCTGAGACCCAAGTTCCATCCTTGAGATTGGGAAACTAGCAAAGATCAGTGCCACTTGGCAAGATTCTTTCATCTCCTGGGGGCTCTTCAATCAACCTGTGGAGGGAAATATGTCTTCATGCCATACAACCCACATGTAGAAACCTGTCTATATGACCTTTATCTGAATAGCCACAGATAGAGTTATGGTTCCTAACATATCTATACTGTGTCTATATCCTAACTATATCTACAATTACTGGGTCTATATTTTTGCTGCTTGTATATCATGACTTCTTGAAGGGGATGGGGAGGAATGATATCTGCATACTCTGGATTCTTTTTTTCAGACCATTGTCTGCAATGTGAAAAAATGTCCAGATTTCTCCAGCTCTGGCCAGTGGGAGGTAACCACTGAACATGAAGGGAAGCAAGAGTCAACCATATTTGATGCTGTCATGGTCTGCACTGGTTATCTCACTGACCCGTTTTTGCCACTAGATACTATACCAGGTATAGTATTATCTTCAAAGTGTCTTCATTTAAAAAAAATCTCTTCTTATTGATATGTCTTTGTTTTGGATTTTTTGAAAAAAAATCACTGTGATATACAATGTGGGTGTACCCCCCAACATACTTTTATGGATCCTCTTTTCTTCTTATTCTCTGTCTCTTGGTGACCTCATCAACTGTCAGGGGCTTAATTAGCACCTCTTTTCAAATGACTCATAGATGTATATATGTTTTATTAATATTTCTTTCTCCTGAGTTCCAGTCACACATCACAAATTACCTATTGAACATTTCAAAATGGATTACTGTAGGTATTTCTAATTCAAAACATCAAAATAAAACTCATTGTATCATCTACCTTTTGTCCATACTTCTTTCAGTCACCCGAGTTAGTAATCTATTTCATCCTCAATATCCTACTCTTCATCACTCTACATATCCAATAAGGGGCCAGATCTTTTCATTCCTCCTCATCTATTCTCTTCTCTCCAGTCATCCAGACATCACCCTATTTCAGATCCTCATCACCTTTCCCCTAGCCTACTACAATAGCCTCCTGATGCATCTCCATCCTTCATATAACTGTCTGGTTATATGACTTCTCTATTCAATAAATTCCAGTGGATTCCTGTTCCCTCTATGATAAAATGGATTGTCGTTTAAACTTCTTCACAACAGGATTCCAATCAACTTTCCCAGCCTTATTCTACATCACTCCCTTTCACACATTCTATGGTCCAGCCAAACTGATTTTCCTAGTCTGTCTCACACGAGACTGATTTCACCGACTTGGCAGCTGAAACCTTCCATATATATTGTCTCTCCCTCATTAGAATGTTAGCTCCTTGAGAGGAAGGACCATCTTACTTTCAGATTTGTATCCCCAATGCTTACTTTTCATATAGTAAGCATTTAACAAATGTTTTATGTACTCATTCAAGACACTCTATCTCTAATCTCTGCATCTTTGCACTGACTCTGTCCGATGACTAAAAAAACTCCACCTTCAATTCTACCTCTTAAAATCTCCAGTTTCCTTCAAAGTTTGGTTCAAATACCATATTTTACATGAGGCCTTTCCTGATTTCTTCCAGCTACTAGTGTCATCTCCCACAAATTTACCTTGTATTTTTTTTTTCAGAAACCTTGTATAGCCTTATATATGTACATGTTATCTCCCATGAAGGAATATAAGGTCCTTGAAAGGAGGGACTGTTTCACTTTTATCTGTATTCTCAGGAACTATCACAATACCTGGCATATAGTAGGGGATTAATATGCATACTGATTAATAACTACTACTTTCTGATAACCCCCTCTCCCCCAGTATCCTCTTTTATCAATTAGTCAATAATATTTCCGAAGTGCCTACTATGTGCCAGACACTATACTAAGTGTCAGGTTCACGTAACAATCAGATACCACAGCTTGGTTTGAAAAAAGTCAGTCCCTGCCCTCAAGGAGTTACAATCTAAAGGGGGATGACAACACACAAAAGGGACCTGAAAAGGGGGAAGGTGAAGGGCAAAGAAGGTACCTGATGTGCAGGCATGGTGGAAAAGTCAAAGAAGTCTCAGAATTTCCCAGGGCATGGCAGAAAAGTCAGAGAAATGTTAAAAAGAGAAACAGTTACATGAAACAGACCATGTCCAGGAAGGAAATACGTTTCACCATCAGGCCTCTGGGATCAAGATTGGTCATTACATTTATCTGAATTCTGATGTTTTTCAATGCTATTTTCCTTTGTATTATTGTGGTCATTCTGTATATTCATCCCTTATGTCTACTTTCTTCGCTCTGAATAAGTTCATTTATTCAAAAAGCATTTTCTAGGTGCCTGCTACAAGCCAGGGAGCATGGGAGATACAGTCTTCCTTAACATCTCTGAATTCCTTATATTCATTTTTGATGCAATAGTATTCCATTACATTCAAATAGCACTATTACTTCAGCCATCCCTCCTATGTTGGGCATCTCCTTTTTTTTCTTTTTAATATCACAAAAATATTGCTGTGAATATTTCCCTAATTCAGAGAAATGTTAAAAATATTTCAATGAATATGAATATTTGTATAGCACAGTCTCTGAAACATAATACATGTTTGTTTCATTCTTTATTTTTAAGAAAATTAGTCAGTTCACAAAAGGGATGGGTTTGAAGGCATAAGCACCCACTTGGGTGTTTGTGTTTTAATGGTATACTGTGCATATGTATGCTTTTAAAAGTCACTTTTGTCAAAGCATTTGCAAACCTTAAAGAACTATATAAATGTTTTATCTTTATGATTGCCATTCTTTCTAGGAATCTCCTCATTCATTAATTCATTTCATCACCATGCAAGGTAGATAGGGCAGATATCATTTTCCTAATTATACAAGGAAATGGAACTGAAAGTCATATGTTGGTCGCTTTGATAAACCGGAATTTGGATTTGGTTGAAGTAGAAGCTTCGTGTAAAAGAGTAATTTGGAGTAAGACTAGAGTTTGAATCTCAGATCTTCTAGTTAATATCTTATATGACCCTGGACAAGTCATTTCATCTCTATGGGCCTCAATTTTCTCATTGTAAAATGAGTTTGGACTTATTATCAATCAAGGAACCATCCACCTCTATATTCTAGAATCTTCAAATCACCTATGACTGTGAGTTTTGCTAAATAACAATAGGACCTTGATAAAGCCACAAGGCATGTTACACAAACTCTTTCTATGTAATATTTGGGGTTTTTTTTTTAAAGTTTTGATTTCCAAGTTCTATCCCTCCTCTCCTTACTCCCTGAGACGGTAAGCAATCAGATATAGGTTACACATGTGCAATCATATAAAACATCTCCATGTCATTTGTACAAGAAAACTCAAATAAAATAAAAAGAATGAAAGAAAGTAAAAACTTTCATGCTTCAGTCTGAAATCAGACAATATTAGTTCTTTCTCTGGAGGAATAGTATGCTTCCACATTAGTACTTTGGGATTTTCTTGTATCATTGCATGGCTGAGAATAGCCAAGTCATTCACAGTTCTTCATTGAACAATATTGCTATTAATATGTACAATGTTCTCTTCATTCTGTTCACTTCACTTTGCATCAGTTCATGTAAGTCTTTCCAAGTTTTTCTGAAATCATCCTACTTGTGATTTTTTATAGCAGAATAACATTCCATTACAATCACATACCACAGCTTGTTTAGCCATTCCCCAATTGATTGACATCCCTTTGATTTGTAATTCTTAAGCACCACAAAAAGAGCAGACAAGCTCTTTTCCAGACCTTCTCCCAACATCTGGCTGGCTCACCACTTTTTCTCAGAGCAGTTGGTTTCCCACAAAGTAGAAATATATCTGATTGTGTAACAACAGCTCCAGAAATTGTTTTCCAGAAACTAATCCTTTTTTCATTTGGTGCTTCATGATCCACTGACCTTTGATATTAAATAAACCAAGCTAAGCCATCCATTTCACCAGGTGATTTCAGCCAGAAGACAAATAGCCACCCCATGTCATCGAGCTAATTGAAACTAAATAATAATGTTTTATTATCCTAACGTTGATATAGGACAAGTGGCCTGATACGGAAAGCCGGTAGGTTTAGATCAAGTTTCAGAAAGTTTCCAAATCAACCCTGATTGGAATCAATGTCCCAGTCTCCATTGTTAAATACTATAACAATAAATTTACTATCTATATTCCATTTTCTTGCCAGTTATGAATAGTAACAGCTGACATCTGTTTATGTTTAACAATTACTGTCCCAATCTGAGTCCAAGGGGCTAGGCATTGTCTCTTTCTCTATTAAAGAGACTCTTACTCTGTAAGAGCTATCATGTACTCATAGTGCACTTTTTTTTCTGCTAGGATAAGGGAAAGGTCAAGTTACTCCTCTCCAACCCTTCTTGTGAAGCCCAGGGAAAGAGAACTATTTGTTCTGGTGACAGTAAGGAAAAGAGCAAGCTAAAAGATATCTCTCCTTATTAAATTAATGTAGCCTCCTGCCCTAACATCATCATGTGGCTAAGGAACCAATGGGAAGATAGCTCCATTATCCCAAAGCACTCAAGTCCTACAGTGCTGAGCCAGCACATGTAGTCATCCAGAAACAGGCAGGGCAGCACCAGGAGATAGCTGCATATTCCTGTATATATGCCATGTGGCTATACTCGTAACACTTTGGGGTTTGCAAAGTGATCAAAAGTATTATCTCATTCAATCCTCAGATCCTCCCTTTCCAACAGGCGTAGCAGCCATTGTTATACATGACTTATAGATGAGGAAATCAACATTGAGAGAGATTGATTGACTTGTCTTTGGTCATATAACTTGAGAGGGTCATGAGTGAAATTTGAACCTATGTAGTCCTGACACTAAATCTACTGTATTTTCTATTGGCTATGATGTCTTTCACAAGCAGTGAAAGTACAGGACCTTATCAACTGAGACCTTTGCAAGTGTTTTATCTGTCCTACTAAATTATACATTCCTTCTGGGAGGAAAAATGTCTTCTAAATCTTTGTGTACCCCTAGTGCCTAGCATTTTGCAATAGAAGATAGTAATTTATGTGTTCAATGAAGAGAATAATTTACAATCAAATTCATTTTGCTGTGATAAATACATTCAGAATCAGATTGGCTTTACTGTATGGGTTGAGGCATGGAAGAAAGAGACATGACATTCGTTAAAAGTGGACTTCAAAGGGCCATCTAAGTGGTGCAGTGGATACAGCACTGGCCCTGGAGTCAGGGGGACCTGAGTTCAAATCCGGTCTCAGACACTTGACACTTACTACTTCTGTGACCTAGGCAAATCACTTAACCCCATTGCCTAGCAAAAAAAAAAATGGGGGGGGGGAACTTCATTAAAGCTATCTGTAGTCAGATGAAAAAAATTCTCTAAATCACTTTTGATTAGAGAAATGCAAATCAAAACAACTCTGAGGTACCACATCACACCTATCAGATTGGCCAACATGACAAAACAGGAAAATGATAAATGTTGGAGAAGATGTGGGAAAATTGGAACACTAATGCATTGTTGCTGGAGTTGTGAACTGATCTAACCATTTTGAGCAATTGTGTGGAACTATGCACAAAGGGCTATAAAACTGTGCATACCCTTTGACCTAGCAATAGCACTTCTAGGGCTATATCCCAAAGAGATCATACAAATGGGAAAAGGACCCACGTGTACAAAAATATTTATAGCAACTCTTTTTGTGGTGGCAAAGAATTGGAAATTGATAGGATGCCTGTCAGTTGGGGAATGGCTGAACAAGTTGTGGTATATCAATGTACTATTGTGCTATAAGAAATGAACAGGCAAACTTCAGAAAAACCTGGAAAGACTTGTACGGTCTGATGCTGAGTGAAGTGAGCAGAACCAGAACATTGTACACAGTAACAGCTGCACTGTGTGATGACTGATTTTGATAGACTTGGCTCTTCTCAGCAATGCAAGGGTCTAAGACAACTCCAAAAGACTCACAATGCAAAATGCTATCCACATCCAGAGAAAGAGCTATGGAGTCTGAATGCAGATCAAAGCATACTATTTGCTCTTTTTTTCTTCTATTTTGTTTTGTTTCTTCTTTCTTGAGGTTCTTCCTATAAGTTCTAATTCTTCTTTACAAGATGACTAATGTGAAAATATGTTTTAAAAAAGTGGACTTCATTGAACATGGTGAATGTGCTTCTGAAAAGTTGCATGTAAATCAAATTTTTACAAAATCATTCTTTTTTTCTATAACATCACAAAACACTTTATACTTTAATGCTTCAGACGATCTCTGACCTCAGTCATAAACCTACTACTTCCACAGACACCTGGGTTCAAATCCCATTTCTGACAGCTAAAAAAAAATTAAACTAAAAGTAGCTTGGGGAGACAATGTAACATAGAGGACAGTGTACTGATAAACAGAAGGAATAAGAAGAAAATCCAAAAGGAGACACAGACTAGTAGGGCAATGTAGGAAACAACATCCTAAATTTGAGACAAACTAAACCAATAACAACAATAAATAGCTAACATTACAATAGTATTCACTATGTACCAGGTACTGTGCTAAGCACTTTATAAATATCATTACATATGAGCTTCATAACAACCCAGGGAGGTAACAGGCACTATTATTATCCCCATTTTACAATTGAAGAAACTGAGGGTAAGTGACTTGCCCAAAGTCACAAAGTTAGTAAATATTGAGGCCAGATTTGACCTCAAGTCTTCCTGACTCCAGATTCAGCACTCTATCCACTGAACCAACCAACCATATGTAGTGGAGATTTATGTTTTCATAAACAGTATTTTTTCCATGTTTATTTGGATAAGGAAATGTATATGCATTGATTTTTGTCAGTTGTATGATAAAAAATATTTTACCCCTTTAGAATGAATTCTCCTAGAGAATAGGGACTACCTTTTTTATTGTTGTTTGTACTTATACTCACAGTACTCACACAGTTCCTGGGACACAGTAAGTATTTATTAAGTGCTTTATTTATCTCTCTGCCTATTTATCTATCCTTCTGCGCATCTATTTACCTATCTATTTCTGGTAACTTCCAGGTTACTTATATTCCTTTCTGAACTGGGGTGCCTCAGAAGGCTAAAATCCTTTTAACCCTAAGGGTATGATAATCATATCTAGCCCAAAAGGTAGTTAAAAAACATAGCAGAAACCTATAACTTAGGAATGAGGGGTTTTTTTTCCTTTTCTCTGGTATCTCCAGCTGCCACCCAAAATCTTTGACCCCCATAAACTATTTGATTTGGTGTTTGAAAATTCCTTTTCACTCCTGTCAAATCCTCAGTCAGCATTGCCTCGTGCCATTTTTACACATTTCCACAGTGCATCCATATGGGGATGGAGTAATGAGTTTCCATGAGTCCCCTTTCCCCTAAAAGCTCCTGGTTGCCTGGCAAATGAACCCAGGTTCAAGAACAAAAGTAGGTCTAATGACTTCTGTCTTAGTTCCTTTATTATAAATTCCTGCCTTTATTGTACCCACCTACCAACAGCAAAATTGCTGCTCTTTGTTTAGCCTTGCTGGCAACAACAGACCTCACCAATATCCTTTCATGAGTCTATGATATAGTAAGTTTAAAGACACAGACACATAGTATTCCTGCAAGTAGAATGGAATTCGGTTATCTCTCTTTGGCTCAGTTGGCTTACCCTGACATGAAGTCAAATACAATCCAAGCTTGAGGTTAAGAGAGGAGAGAATAAGAAAAAATGCAACAGAGAGGGACTGAAGGGGTAGCTAGGAAGCTCAGTGGATACAGTGCAGTGAAATGGCAAGCCACTCCATTGTCTTTGCCAAGAAAATCCCAGATGGGCTCACAAAGAGTCGGACACGGCTTAAATCACTGAACAACAACAAACAATGCTTTATTATTCACAAATAAGAAAGAACAATGGATTTGGGGAGAGAAGATCTGGTTTTCATTCCTCCTCTACTTATTAACTTTATGACCTCGGTCAAGACTTTTGGAACATGGATTCCTCATCTGAAAAATGGACTAGATGATGGATATGGACTGGATGGACTAAGGCCTCATCTAGTTCTTAATCCTTTAAGGCTAGAAAGCACTTCTTTATACCACACCTCTGTGAGGGAGGCAATGGTGCAAGTATTAATATCACCATTTCACAGGTGAGGAGACTGAGACCCAAAAATACTTAAGGGGCTTGACCAGGATCATACAAATAGTATCTGAGCCAGGATTCAAATATAAGTCTGACTGCAAACATCATATTTTATCACTACACTCTACAGCCTTAATGAACTAGTGGGCTCGAGAGGGGGTGATTTTATGATGCTAATTATTTCACAGTATCATAGAATTTCAGAGTTGGGTGAGACCTTAATGGTCATCTAGTCCAGTGCATTCCCAAGCCAGAATTTCCACCACTTCTGGAGTTGATTCCCCTTATGGATAACTCTGTTAGGAAGTTTTACAAGATAAAGTTTCCTCTTCACAATTTCTAGTCAGTAGTCCTCATCCTCACCCAGGCCAAACAGACCAGATCTAATCCCTCTTCTGTATGGTGGACCTTCAAATACTAGTAGGTATAGTATCACCCCAAACCAATGTAATTGCCTGAATGATAGGTTTTATTCACAGAGCTTGTCAAATCCCTCATTTCCTCTTTTTGGTTTTCCCTTCTAGGTATCAGCACCTTTAAAGGTCAGTACTTTCACAGCCGGGAGTACAAGCATCCCGATCTCTTCAAGAATAAGAGAGTTCTTGTGATTGGCATGGGGAACTCTGGCGCAGACATTGCTGTGGATGCCAGTCGTGTAGCTAAAAAGGTTATTAATTGTAATGAAAATGTCATATAAAATGTGCTGATATGCTGAATGGCCTTTTAAAAATGTAGCTCCCCTTCATCATTGGTCAATTTCACTGTAAATTCTGAATTTTTTATTTCTCTAGAAAGGAAGGAAGGAAGGAAGGAAGGAAGGAAGGAAGAGAGAGAGATGGGGGAGAAAGGTCCTCATCATGACATCCCTATTTTTGTTAATGACATCCAAAATTTTTCAATCACCAAGCACTTGGAGTCACAATGACAAAGATTCAAATCCTACCTCTGAGAATTACTAGCTGTGCGACCCCAAGGAAGTCCTTTAACCTCTCAGCCTCAAATTTTCTCATTGCTAAAGTAAGAAAATAATAGCATACATTCACTGAGTTGTTGTAAGGCTCAAATGAGATCATGTTTGTCAAATCTTTGCAAAAAGTTAAAATGATATATGACTATCTGTTATTTGGCCCCTATGAGACTCAATTTGTCCATTTATGAAGTGGACATAATACGTACAGAGATGTTTTGATGATCAAGTGAGATAATGTCTGTAAAGACCTTTGCAAACTTTAAAGCACAATACAAATTGTAAAGTTATTTGAGTTATTTTAGCAAACTGAAGGGAGGCAAGGAAAGAAGATTTGGGAACTGCCAGAACATTCAGTGCTTCTAATGTGATAATTACCAATGACGTTTATATGGCACTTTAAGGTTTACAAAGTGCTTTGAATAATAATAATAATAATAACAACTGGCATTTAAATAGTTCCTTAATATTTGCAAAGAACTTTACTAATATTAACCCATGCAAACTTTACAGCAGCCACATGAAGTAAATGCTAAACAATGTATTTGCTTCCAGGTGTTGCTCAGTACCACTAGAGGTGCATGGCTGATAAATCGACTTGACCATGGGTGTCCTTCGGACATAGTGTTCACTTCTCGATTTCAAAGTGCATTTAGAGATTGCCTCCCAACTCCAGTTGTAAATTGGTTATTTGCCAAAAAGGTGAATAGCTGGTTTGATCATGAAAACTATGGTTTGGTTCCAGAAAGCAGGTAATTTCTTGACTTCTATTTTGTGCTCTCAGAAAAGAGGGACCCCAAATTTCTCAATAACTTTTGTGAAGCTGGATTACTTGCTGCTGCTGCTGCTCCTGCTACAAAATGTGTTTTTAAAAAAAAACATTTAGAAAGAAAGACTATAAAACCACATCCAAGACTCAATTTCAGCAAGGCTTTTGCTCCATTGGCAAGTAGAAATTGCATCCTCTAGTTTGCATTTGCAGTCTCCTTAATGGCCACAAGATAGAGCCTCAACAAGATAAACTCAATTCAATTTAGCAAACATATAATAAGGACCTAATATGTACTGTGGGAACAAAGATAGCTGTGACATTAACCTCTCAGGTCTTATAGAGGGCGTGTACACAATTAGATATGAGGACCAGAATAAGATAAATAGATAGGAGAGGCTAAGCAAAATTCCATGAGTAATTTGAGAAGAGAAAACTTTTATCTACTAGGGCTCATCTGCTGGGGTGGTAAAATGGAGGAGAAGGGGGTGGGTAGAGTTGACAAAAGAAGAGAGGAAGAGACACAAATTAACTAGTATTTATAAAACACCTACTATATGCCAGGTGCTGGTGATATGAAGTTTCTGAGGATATGAAGATAAAAAAGAAACAGTCCCAACACTCAAGGGACTTACATTACATCAGTGCAGAAAACATGCATATAAATGAGCATAGAAAGATATATATATATATATATATTAGAGGGCTATATATAATAAGTTATATGCATATACACATATTATATACAAATATAATTGTATATATACAAATGTGCTTGTATGTGTATATACCTATGTGTATATAAACATATATGAGAGATTTTATACATATATGAGAGAGAGAGATCTGTGTGGAACTTCAAAAGAAGAGTGCTGTGGAAATATCTCCAGTTTTTCTCAGAAAGTACCATGTCAGAAGGTAGATAGAACTAATCAGGAATCACTGAATTTTGGAAAAAACATAGGAGTGCTGAAGGGCAGGCAAAAACCTGAAGGTCCACCTCCTAGGTGTCCTTGCTCTATTTGAATATTGGTCAGGCAGTAGTCCCTAAGGAGGAAGTCAGTATCAGAAATTTATAAATCCATCCCTACACAACTTCCTTCTCTCAAACCTGATACCTCATAGTCCTTGAAAGGGGAGAATTATAGAACCAAAGGCAGGATCAGAGGGAAGTCAGAGGATAAATGAGGCATATTATTCATTGGTGCACCTCTTCCTTCTCTGTTTTTATTTAGGACTTTCATAAGAGAACCTGTACTGAATGGTGAGCTCCTAGGATGCATAAATACTGGGAAGGTGTTGATCAAAGCCAGTGTGGAGACAGTGAAGGAAAACTCTGTGGTATTTAAGAATACTCCAGAAGAAGAACCTATTGACATAATTGTCTTTGCCACAGGATACACTTTTGCTTTTCCTTTCCTTGATGAGTCTATAGTGAAAGTTGAAAACAATCAGGCCTCTTTGTATAAGTACATATTCCCTACACATCTGGAAAAACCAACCCTGGCTGTCATTGGCCTCATCAGGACTTCTACATCCTTGGTTTGCACAACAGAAATACAAGCCAGATGGGTCACACGAGTCCTAAAGGGTATGTAGATGGAAAACATGGGTGGGCAAAAGGGCAAAAGCGGAAAAAGCAAAGATGGTGGGAGGGCAGCGTGGCTCTCAAACTTTGTCTATTGATGAAATGATGGCTGATTGATTTTAGAGACTAGAAATCTTGATAACTCACCAGTGTCCATTTAAAACAGACAGAAACTCCCAAAGCTGGATTTATATGAGTACTGACTGAGTCACAGGGTAATGATGACTTACATTGTGTCTCTGAATGCCAAGAAAGTAGAGACTACAAAACACAGGCTGTTCTATCTGCATGCATAACCCAGCCCATCAGGTATTTTTGTGAAATTAATAGGCCTAATTAAGACACCAAAATGTTGATTTTACTGAAAATATTTTAGTCAACCTAGTTGCTTGGTACAATGATAGGAGAGATAGGTAGGTTTATAACTACTGATTAAGATGTTGATGTCAGAGCAGAAGAGGTTGCCCATGTGGTATCCTCAGAGATCTCTCCTTGATACCTGTTATCATTTTTCTCAATGACTTGGATGAAGGCATGGATGGCGTACTCAAATGTGCCAATGATACAAAAGTGAGAAGGGACTGACAGCACACTGGATTGTGAACCAAACCAAAAAACATCTTGACAGGCTAGAACACCGGGCAAATCTAATCAGTAAACCTTTAATCAAGTGAAATTTAAAGTCCTACAACTGGGTTGAAAAAATCAACTCCACAAATACAAGATGAAGAAAATGTAACCTGAAACAATTTAGGTAGAAAAAGAAAGATCTGGCAGGTTTCATGCTAGAAACTTAATACGAGTCAACAGTGTGATAAGGCAGTCACAAACAAAGTTTCTGTGATTCCAGCTTTCATTAAGGGAACTATGACTTCCAAAACAAGAGCAGTGATTGTCAGGGTAGGTAGGTGGTGCAGTGGTTAGAGCACCGGCACCGAAGTCAGGAGGACCTGAGTTCAAATCTGGCTTCAGACTAAACACTTGACACTTACTAGCTGTGTGACCCTGGGCAAGTCACTTAACCCCAATTGCCTTAAAAAAAAAAAGAGTAGTGATTGTCTAACTGTACTCAGTCATGGGCAGACCATATCTAATGTGTTCTGGTTACTTCTGGACATCATATTTTACTAAGAAAATTGATAAACTGGAGAGCATCACAAGCAGGATGATAAGAATGGTATAGGTCAGACCTTGAGACCCTGCCATATAAGAGTTTCTTAAAGGCACTGGGGAAGTGTAGCCTAGCAAAAAGAGGCATGGAATACACCTGGTAACAATATTTACACTTACAAAAATATACACATCTGACTTGATCTCAGAACACTTTACTAAGAGCGATGGATGAAAGTTGCAAGGAGACATTTATGTCTGATTTCAGGGGGAAAAAATCTAACAATTAGAACTATCCACAAATGGAATGAGCTGCCTTGGAAAGTAATGAGTTCCTTCTCATTGGAGGATGATCACGATTCCAGTATACTGCAAAAGGTATAGTTTAGATTGCCTGGCTTATGAGATATTTCCTAACTTTGAGATTTGATGATGAAGGCTAAGCAACTGGTCAGTTGAGTTACATTTAGTTTTCTGCTGGTTACCTTGACATCATATAGACAAAGACATAGTAAGCCTAAGTCACAAGGATTGCCTCGTGACTTATTAATGACAACTTGCCTTTGTGGAAGGTTTGAATGTCCAGGAACCTGAACCATTGGTTTTATCTCTCTCTTGGGTGCAAGAAAAATGGTGACCAACCCCACTAATTATAAGTTGTGGTACTTCATATGGTTTACCCAGAGTTCTAAGAGATACTTAAGGAAATCTTTAATTTTATCTTGTAGGCTTGACTAAACTACCATCACCAGAGGCCATGATAGAAGACGTTGACAAAAGGAAAGCCAATAAACCCACTGGGTAGGCTATGTCCCTTAATTACTTGTATATCACAGTAGAGTATTTCCCTAAAGGATCAATGATTGTTGTCTTAACTGGAGATGGCAAAAAGTACTGAATTTCAAGCAGAAGGAAAATGGGGCATCAAGAATTCTGGAAGAGTTCCAGGGCAACCTTTATTAGGAGTTGCCGGTGAAAGAAGAAATGAGGGGACCCAACATGTCATGGCAATGAGAACACTAGAACATCACTATCTACCATGTCAAAGAACTAAGGACTTCAGAATAGGAATAGGGACTTTACCTGTGATTTAATTGGCATAAACAACTCCAAGGTTAGGAAATTCCCTCAACCAAAGCAGGTCAGCACCTTCTCTGAAACTTATGGTTTTAGAGAGTTGTGTAGAGAAGTGAAAGGTTAAGTGATTTTCCCAGGAACACATAGCCAGTCAGAGGCTGAACTTTTAACCAAGGCCATCCTGAATTTAAAGACAGTTCTTTATCTACTATACCATACTGACTCCCATGGACCTAGAGTTTCAGAATACATGACTGTAGAAGTGATGTTAAGGAAGCTAACATCATGGTTTGGTCTGGGGCCAGCAAGAGATGGTGAATTATCACCAATCTGGACAGCATGGTCCCAGGATGGCTGTTTCACAGCTGAGTGGCCTGTCTCCTCCAGGGCATGATTTCTGGAGGTTTGGTTGGGAGATTAGGGCAGTAGCTGGAAGTATATTGAGAAGAAAGCTGGGATGAAGCATGGTTGGCTCTGGGGCTGGCTAGATAGAGTTTGATTCTTACCAATTAGAACAGCACAGCCCTAGGGGAGTAGTTCCAAAGTAGTGTTTTTAAAAGGAGTTTATAGTTAGGAAGAGGAGAAGAATTTTGAGAGTAGGAGACATATTAGTACATGTTAGAATGAAAGACAGATCATGGATATGATTCTGAATTTTAGGAAGAGAATTTCAGTTTTACCTGTAATAAGATGATGTTTCTTTTCTTTTCCTTTTTTTTCACAAAGTTTTGGTTTACACTTTGATATGCCTTTGCAAGAAGATGGTGTCATATACCTAGATGAGATCTCATCCTTCATCGATGCAAAGCCTAACTTGTTATCTCTGCTTCTGGTGGACCCACTACTGGCTTTTAAGGTTTTCTTCGGCCCACTTACTTCATACCAGTACCGTCTGACTGGCCCAGGGAAGTGGGATGGAGCCAGGAATGCCATTCTGACCCAGTGGGACCGGATAATCAAGCCAACAAAAACTCGAATTGTACAAAAACGTCCAGATACTTTTTCCTACCTACTCAAAGTCTTCAGCTTTTTGGCTCTACTTGTTGCTGTATTTCTTATTTTCCAATAGTTGAAACCCTTGGTTCCTTAGAACAAATGCACAGGGTAGATCTTCCATTAGAGCAGAGCCTTCACTCCTGGGGTCATTCCCAGAATAACCAACTTGTGCCCACATTTTTCTCACCTGGAATCCACATGCACTCTAGAAACTGTATGAAAGTCCTATTGGTCAATAGTGTTCAGTGTGTATTTTTCCCACCCTTGTCCCTCTCCAGCTCTATACTGACCTCCATATTCTACCAACCTATGGGAAAGAAAGTTTTCTGCAAACATTAAAGCACTATATAAATGTGAACTACGATTATGGGAATTGTTTTTATCTATATTATCTACATTTAATGCCAGTGGAAGAAAATAGTATTTTCTGATTTTGGTACTTTCAGAGGAGATATCAATCTGAGTAGTTACACTTCCTTCTCCTTTATGAAATCTTTTTAATTCAATTCCTTTATCATAGGCAGCCAAAGCTCTCCAAATACTAGGTCTGTGTAGAGGTTATATGCTGGGCTTTTCACTAAAGAACAATAAAAGAAGCAGTGAACAATTTCAAGTGTTGTTTTAATCTCTTTATTGTTGGGAAGTGGAAGAGGGGGTATTTATAAAGAGGTAAATTGGGGGTGAGGTAGGGAGAGAACAAAAAGAGGGAGATAATGTCTACACAGGACCAACATAAAGTCTAGGTAGATTAAATAAATATCTATGTGGCACACACACAAAGACTGAAGTTTCTTAACCTATATTAAGCTGCTGTGAGTCTCAGTTCAATCAGTATGAAATAATGTGGCCTCATAAATTGGGAGTAATTCAATCCTTCCAAGTAGTTTCAAATGAATTAAATGCCCCAGGAAGTCAATAGCCCTATCTCACTCTCATAAGCCTATGTACATAATTTTACTTCCTGTCAAATGAACACTGTCTCTGAGAGCTTCATCTTGTGACACTACTATGAAGAATGAGGGAGAATTTCTGTTCAGATTCATGACTGACAACAACATTTAGGCTCAGGATTTCTCAAAGAACAATGCAATTCTCCATATCTCTTGTGTACTGGATTTCTATAACATCTTTTCACCACGAAGTTCAGGCTACCCTGCCCATAAGAGACATTATGGATGTCATTTATTACTGTGCTCAAGAGTGAGTGGCAAAGAGAGATATTCAAAGAGGGAAGGTAGGGAGAGAGAATAAGAAGACATATGGGGGAAGTAGTGGTGTCAGAGAACAGAAATTATATAAATTGGACCTAGTATCAGCTTGGTCTGCACAAAGTGCACCTTGGTGATTGTACTAGGAAGATCACAGGTTTAGACCTGGAAGAGAACTGAGAGGGTTTTTAATCCAATCCCCCTCACTGTACAGATGAAGAAACTGAGGCTAAGTGAAATGTCCATAGTAGTAAGTGGTAGAGATAGGATTTGAAACTGGGTTCTCTAAATCCCAAGCCATTGCTCTTCCCGTTGTGTTATGTTGTGTTGGAATTGGTTTAATTATGCATCCAAAATCAATAAGAAAGATCTTTTCATGGGACATTTGGTCATTTCATTTTTGCTGGGTTTATGGTTAGCATTTGTTAAATGACTATTATGAAGATAATTATAGTTTATACATTAATATTTGTTGCAGAGAAGGAGGAAATTGAGAAATAGTATCCAGAGCTCATTAAGATCCTCTAAATCAAGTTAACATATACCTTTGTACGTTCTTTCTGGCCCTCACCACCCTCCACAGATGTCATGGTGGGAACTTGTGAGTCAGAATGAGTTATCTCACACAGAACAAAAGATGACCCATAGGACCAGAGAAGGGCAAATGTTACATTTTCAAATAATGGAAGTGGGCAAAATCTGCAAACTCCTGGCCAATGAGGTTGACTTTGATTCCTGACAAAATTTCAAATGCATAAATATTTAGAAAGGGAAACAATGATTACTAAGAACCAGTATGACTTCTCCAAAAATAGATGTTCCTAGGCTAACTTCATTTCTTATTCTGGTATTAGACTGGTAGAACAGGAGGATGTTCTAGACATGGTAAACCTATCTTTTAGTAAAATTGACTGGATTTAAAAAAGAAAAACACCAATACTACCACAGTATGAGACACATTAATATCTCAATTAGATAGGTTTGTTTGGTTTTTTTTTAAAAGGAATGATTTAACATTACACATTTAGATAGTTATTTAAAAAGAATGGTTTAACATTATACATTTAGATAGTTGTTTAAAAGGAATGATTTAATATTATACGTTTAAATTATTGATATAATTTATTTACTCCTCTTTCTACTACACCAGAGATGTCAAACACTCCACCACACAGACAGCATTATTCCCCAACACTCCCAAATGTGGCTGAACCAGATTAAAATGTAATTGGTAAATAGTTAACAAAATAAGTCAAAGTGCAATAGAACATAGATAATATTAATACATATGTAGGTTTCTAAGTCAATATGCCACCAGAAGGTACCCTTACTGATGGATTAGTGGTCCCCTTTCTACTTGAGTTTGACGTCACTGCACTCCATCTGCCTACTGTACTCTTGAGTAAAATAGAGGACTATCAAACCAGCCAAAAGAAGGTATCACAACTCCAAAAGGTCTGTGAGTAACTTACTTAAATAGTTCTCCAAATTGCATATTTCTTTTCAGAGGCAGAATAGGAGAGGAAAGGTGACTGAATCTGTTTGTCACAATCTGTTTGAAGATTGAGATTTTGAGAGAATCCAGAAATTCAGCTCTGCCTCAGCCTCCTTTAGAAGTGAGCTGCTGACCATGTTTTACCCTAGACCAAAACTTCTTAACCTGTGAGGCATGACTCCATGTGGGTTCACATAACTGAAGGTGGGGGTCTCAAAAAATTTGGCGATAGTAAAAGGTTTTTGAATGTGCAACGACCAAAAATTAATTCAAAATCAAACGCATGATGAATCTGAGCTGTTTCTGGAAGCGCTTGCCATGTTGCATCATGTGACTTCACTACAACTTCGGTTCCGAACCCACAACATGCACGCTTTGCTCTGTGAATTCCGTTACACTGCACAATGCCAACAAACACCACCAGAAACACCTTGGTTCGGATTCGAGACTATTGTATATTATGAATTGCAGTGTTTTTACTGTACATACAAAGTTTTCTGCTCTTAAAGAAACATAATATTTTCATTGTGGAAAATAAAGACATATAATATTTTCCTACCATCATTCCTCAGCATGTAAGTATCAAATTAATATATTTTGGGGTTGTGTTGTGTTAGAATGTTTGATTTTTTAAATTGCTGTTATCTGTTTCTTTTACATTAATGTGTTTAATTGCAGCAAGTAAAGACAAAAACCTTTTAATAATATTTCTCCATCATTACCACAGTATGTGTATGTAAGTATGAGCATCAATTTTTTAAATTAAGCACAAACAAATGTAATTTCATAAACTAAAGCTAGTATTTATTTGAGAAATTATTAGCAATATGTATTTATATTTAAGGACAAAAATTTTTTCAGTTATGGATAAGTGGCTAAATTTAGAAAGAAGAGGTAAAAATGCTGATGACAGCGTGGCAGTCTTTGCTAACAGGTTGTAGTACACTTAAATTGACAAGAAAAAGAAAATATTTCTAATCATTTTTGCAATATGAATTTACTTCTAATAATGATGTATGTAATGAAGTTTTGGCTGTGGAGAGCATGAAACCAGCCAAACTAAAATGACATCTTAATACCTAGAATACAGCATATTGCAATAAAGCAAAAGAATATTTTGAATGGCTTTAAAAACTCTTCAAATAAAGAAAAATAATGTTTTGAGAAATTTGTTACTGTCAATGAAAAGTATTTACTTGCATCTTATGGAACTTCTTGTTTAATTGCAAAAACTAAAAAGCCCTAAGCAAGAGGAGAAGATCTCATGTCACCTGCTGCTATTAAAATGTGAGAAATAGTTCATGGGAAAAAGTATGGGGATGAAATTCATAAAATTCCTTTACTGAATGATACTGTTTCCAAAAGAATTTCTGAAATTTGTAGTGACCAATTCCAGTAGCTTATTACCAGGCTTAAGGGAAGCCCAAAGTTTGCAATTCAGTTAGATGAAACAACTGATATTTCTAACATGGTATAGTTACTACTTTATGTAAGATATGTTTATGAAGGAAGCATCCATGAGGAATTATTGTTTTGTCACCCTTTGGAAGGGCACACAAGAGGGGGAAAAATATATATATATATATATACATATATCTTAAAATCAATTTATTTTTCACAAATGAAGGTTTACAGTAGAAGATTGCACTGGAGTCTGTACAGATGGTGTTGGGGCAATGATGGTTGAGAATGTTGGATTTGTAACAAGTTAAAGCTGGTGGCAATGAACATATCACTTTTACTCAATGCATGATCCATCAGGAGGCACACATAGCCAAAAAAATATCACCAGACTTACATGTTGTATTTCACAATACAATCAAAATCATTAACTTCATTAAAAACTGTGCCCTTAACAGTCATTTGCTTTCAAACCTTTGGAAAGACACGGACTCCACTTACAAAAGCTTATTGCTACATGCAGAGGTAAGGTGTCTCTTAAGAGGAAGAAGGTTAAACAGATTATTGAAATTGATAGATGAAGTTGTTCTACTTTTGACTGAGCAGAGATCTGATTTTGTTATTTTTTTTCATAATGACTTATGACTTTCAAAACTGTGTTATTTGTCAGATATTTTCAAAAAACAATGAAAACTCAACAGGTCGCTTCAAGGAAATATTGTAACATATTTATTTTAAAAGACAAAATTTAAAGTTTCACTAAAAAATTAACATATGGTAGAAGAGAGTGGAAATAGTTCTTTAGAAATGTTTAAAACTGGGGCAGCTAGGTGGCGCAGTGGATAGAGCACCAGCCCTGAAGTCAGCAGGACCTGAGTTCAAATCCGGCCTCAGACCAGACACTTGACACTTACTAACTGCGTGACCCTTGGCAAGTCACTTAACCCCAATTGCCTTAAAAAGAAAAAAACAAAACAAAAAAAAGAAATGTTTAAAACTACAGATGGTTTTATAATAGAAAATAACTTTCCCAAAGATTTAATTGTAAGAGTTATAATTGATCATCTAAAGTGCCTGGAGATACAGTTTCAGAAAAACTTCCCTTCAAAATTTGATTCTAAAACACTAAGTCAGGTTCCTAAATCATACACAATCATCTGCCATTAAGAGTTCAAGAAGAATTTGCTGAGTTATCAAGCCACCAGGTTTAAAACTTGAGTTTCCTAAAAATTCATTAAATGAATTTTAGCTTGGGATCAGGACAGAATCTCCAACAATTTCTAAAATGGTCCTAAACATACTTCTATAATTTTGTACCATGTATTTATACAAAATGGCATTCTTAGCATTGGTGATTATAAAATCAAAATATCGATCAACTCTGAAAAACATCAAAGATGCTCTACATCCAGCAGTATCAAATATTCCACTAAGATCTAATGCTTTATGTAAAAATAAACAAGCACATCCATCACATTAGTATGCAAACTTGCCTTTGTCTTTAGTATA